GGGCAACAGGATGTAATGTAGTGTGTGTAGAAATATGGTTATTATTAATATTACAGATTATTGATGGTAGAAATAGCATACAGGAGGATGATATAATAGTAATGGAGGGAAGGAAGAGGAAGAGGAAAAGAACGATAGCTGATAAGAGAAGAGATAAGAAGAAACATAAGAAGGACAATAGTAAGAAGGACAATAGTAAGAAGGACAATAGTAAGAAGGACAATAGTAAGAAGGAGAATAGTAAGAAGGAGAAAAAATGATGACTGCATTATTATTATTTCTCGTAAGTCGTATATATATAATTCATTCATATAACTGTGTGTGTTGTGTTCTTGATAAGAAGATATAATGATGATGAAACATAATATCTACATATCTATGTACATGCATCTAAGATGATGTATCTTTGTATGTGTTTCTTAATCATGAATATTATTTTCACTCTAATTGTATCTTTCGGCGTAGATATCCATTAATACTATTATCGTCTCTTTTAAAGGGTGGGAAGCATTATTATCAAATGATGAGCATGAGCATGAGCATGAGCATGAGCATGACGATGACATCAGCAGCAGCAGCAGCAGCATTGGACAAGCATAGCTTATCAGACTAGGATGATGATTAAGTTAGATGATGACGGTTAGTTGCTCTTAGTTCTTCTTTATCAAACAGGGTTCTCTTGAATTGGTTTAATGAATTGTTGTTATTACTGTTACCTCAGAGGCGATGATGAATGGCTATGTTTCCCTATGTAGCCGATTTTGTATGGGCGTCGTTTGCCTATACTTTAGTGCACAATATATCGAATATCAGAGCAGCCATTCATAGAGCGAACCTAAAGATATCTCAGTGCTTCCAAGTCGTACCTTGTTCAGCACGTTGGTAATCATGACTCTCAGTCGATTGACTAATCCCAGGGTCTAATCCCAAACCAATGGTCATTTTTCTCACATGTCTCCTCTATAAGGAGACCGTTTTGGCTGAAGAGGTCGTCTATACGATAGACTCTATCCACGCCTTCCATTATGGAGTGAGGTCCACGACGACGATGACGCCAGCCGACCCCCGACAACTAGTCATCCAGTTTCCAAGATAATTTCAATAATAGTCCGCTGAATTTATGATGAGAAGCTCAACGAGCTCCTCCGCCCCCCCTTCGTA